GTGTGGACCGAGACCCTGGATAGCCAGCTGAGCCCTCCTTGTCTTGCCCCAGGATGAACCAGCAGCTACAAACCAAGGCTATGGCCTTGCTGACAGCCTTGCTGCAGGGGGCCAGCTCTACTGAACGCAAGGTGAGTGTCCCATCTGGTGGCTGGCTGTGGGGGCAGGAGCTGGTGGGTACTGTGCTCTATCCTGGGACTGCAGGGTGGGTGCTCATGGTGGGGCTAAATCATCTAAGTCCCTTTCCCACCCAACTCAGCACATGCTTGACTACCTGTGGCAGAGAAACCTTCGCCAGTTCATCTATAAGGTAGGAAGGACTGGGCTAGGCAGACCCCTCCCCACTTTCCCTCTCCCAGTAAGCCGACACTCACACCCGTGGGCTGGCCGTTCTGCAGAACATCATCCACAGTGCAGCACCGCTGGGCGATGAGATGGCTCATCATTTGTATGTACTGCAGGCCCTTATGTTGGGGCTGCTGGAGCCACGTATGCGGACACCACTGGACCCCTACAGCCAGGTGGGTGCTTTTGGAGTGCACAAGGCTGGGGCCAGCTAGAGAATGGCCTTGAATCTATGATCCTGATACTCCCTTACTCCACAACAATGACCCCAGGAACAGCGGGAGCAGCTGCAGGCCCTGCGCCAGGCTGCCTTTGATCCTGAAGGGGAGTCTTTGGGCACCGGGCTGAGTGCTGACCGTCGCCGTTCCCTCTGTGCCCGCGAGTTTCGAAAACTGGGCTTCTCCGTGAGCAACCCCTCCCTAGCTCCCCACCCCTGCCTCAACCCAGGGCTGCTTTGTTCCAGAGGCCTGGAGTCCTTACTGAGCTACCTGTCCCTCTTTCCCCAGAACAGCAACCCTGCACAGGATCTAGAGCGAGTGCCCCCCGGCCTGTTGGCCCTGGACAACATGCTTTACTTCTCCAGACATGCACCTAGTGCTTACAGCCGGGTCAGTGATATGGTGGAAGTGATACAGTAGGATGCCACCTAAGCAGAGTCTGTATTGCCTTAGCTGCAACTTCTATCCCATTCTCTGTTTCCACTACCCCAGTTTGTGTTGGAGAACAGCAGCCGTGAGGACAAGCATGAGTGCCCCTTTGCCCGGAGCAGCATCCAGCTGACTGTGCTGCTGTGTGAGCTGCTCCGCATTGGGGAGCCCTGTGAGTGGACTGGGCACAGCGTGTCCAGGAACGGGGGACGGAAGGGCAGAGAGGGCCAGGGGCTGCACACACTTTCTCCCTGAGCCCCTCCTGCCCCCCTGCTCCAGGCTCCGAAACAGCCCAGGATTTTTCACCCATGTTCTTCAGCCAAGACCAGAGTTTCCATGAGCTCTTCTGTGTGAGCATCCAGCTGCTTAATAAGACCTGGAAGGAGATGCGGGCCACCCAGGAGGACTTTGACAAGGTGGGTGGGGTGGAAGCTAGGAGACCTGAGCCAGGGCAGGGGCTCTTCTGAGTAGGGGTCCAGAGCATAGTACTGAGCTGAATTGGTGACTCCAGGTCATGCAAGTGGTGCGGGAGCAGCTGGCCCGCACGCTGGCCTTGAAGCCCAGCTCCCTGGAGCTTTTCCGAACCAAGGTGAACGCGCTCCCCTACGGGGAGGTCCTGCGGCTGAGACAGACAGAGCGGCTGCATCAGGAGGGCACACTGGCCCCTCCCATACTGTGAGTACATGGGAGTGGATCCCCGTCCTGGCTCCACCTTCCTTAGTGCCCATGGGCCTTGCCCCAGTCCCAGTCACCAAGCACCTCCTCCCCACCCCTGCCCCACCAGGGAGCTGCGGGAGAAGCTGAAGCCGGAACTCATGGGCCTGATCCGCCAGCAGCGTTTGCTCCGCCTCTGTGAGGGGACACTCTTCCGCAAGATCAGCAGCCGGCGACGCCAGGGTGGTTGAGGGGAGGGTGGGCAGAGAGTGGCTGGGTGGCTGGGTGGCTGGGTTGGGGTCAGGGACCCTCTTGTCACTCTTTCCATCTTCCCTTTCTACCCACAGACAAGTTGTGGTTCTGCTGCCTGTCCCCTAACCACAAGGTGCTGCAGTATGGGGACGTGGAGGAGGGTTCCAGCCCACCCACCCCTGAGAGCCTACCTGAGCAGCGTAAGAATGGGGCAAGGGTCAGGATCAGCCACCTGCTCTCCCCAGACCATGTCGCAGGACCACCTGGGTCCCAGTGATCAGCCTAGCCTTTTTCCTGCAGTCCCTGTGGCTGATATCAAGGCACTGCTAACAGGCAAAGACTGCCCCCACGTCCGGGAGAAAGGCTCAGGGAAGCAGAACAAGGTGAGTGTAGTGGAAGACAGGGGCTCCTTCCCACCCACATCTGCCCTGCCCTGTTCCCTGCTCAGTGCTCTCAGCTCCCTGGCTTCCCCAGGATCTCTATGAGTTAGCCTTCTCAGTCAGCTATGACCATGGGGAGGAGGAGGCATACCTCAACTTCATCGCCCCATCCAAACGGGAGGTAAGTGTCTGGGCCAGGCTGAGCTGAGTTGGGCAGATGGGCCGGGGAAGAGATGGGCAGGCCCTCACAGAGCTGGCCCTGTCCCCAGTTCCACCTGTGGACAGATGGGCTGAGCGCCCTGCTGGGAAGTCCCATGGGTAGTGAGCAGACTCGGCTGGACCTGGAACAGCTGTTGACGATGGAGACCAAGCTGCGGTTGTTGGAGCTGGAGAATGTGCCCATTCCTGAGCAGCCACCTCCCATCCCCCCGCCCCCCACCAATTTCAACTTCTGCTATGACTGCAGCATCTCTGAACCTTGACAGTGAGGTTGGCCGTGGGCCACAGCTGCTGGCACTGCGGCAACCATGAAGGGTGGAGGGTGGAAAAGCCCAGACATCCGGACAAACAGAGGCTGCAGCAGAAATAAAGTCTGCTTGGCTCTTATGTATGTGTCGAGCCAGTTCTGAACCTGTGGGCCAAGCCTGCCTTCAAGCTTAGCTGGCAAATGAGATGGGGCATCAGGTCAAGGTCACTGCTTGGGGCCACAAACCTGGGGAGCCGTAGCTGAGGGTATTCTGCAGGAGGCTGGAGACAAGCTGGACCTATTGTCCTTCCACAAGATGAGTCCTCAGCCTTCCTGAGTGCTGGGCCTGCAGAGAGGGATGGCCTATGGTCTGGGGGGTCAGTTGAGGGACCTGTGGCAAGGCAGAAGGTGTTGTCCTAAGTGGATGCCTTCCTGGGCAACATGAGCAGGGGCCTAGTCTGAAAGCCATGTTTCTAAAAGGCTCCTAACAGTTTGAACTCAGTCCTCAGCCCTGGTTGGCCCTGCTCTTTGTCCTTTTCGAGGCCCTCTGGTGAGAGGCATGAAGGAATAGATGTGAAGCTGGGTCTGCTTTGTGCTGAAGGGCAAACTCAAGATTTCAAACCTGTCCCCTGGTGGTGGAAGGATGTGTTGATTCTGATGAGGGAATTCAGTGCAAGCCTTGCATTCTGATTCAAATCCACTGCAGCAGCAGGGTGTGGTGGTGGCCACGGACAGGCAAGACCACTGGGGACAGAAAGTGGTGAGGGGTATTGGGCCCAGCTGGAGGTCAATCTCAGAGGCTAGCACACCAACCCACAGGGCAGGCTGAAAGCTGCCACCACTCTGACCTTCTCCGTGCCTCTCACTACCACTATTTCTCAACACCATCTCAGTACCTTTTTAACAGTATTGACCATCAACATGTTACCTTGAAAACTGATGAAATGGCATCTCTTTGGAGAATGTGCTGGGAGAGCACCTGCTTCTGACTCAGGCCTCCAGGGCCCAACATGCCCACTCCTACATTCAGAGACTTCCCACCACAGTTGGAATAGTTCAACTTGCTATTGAGTTCAAAATGGAAATCGAGGTCAGGATCCCAGATGCAGTTAAGCCTTCTAATAGCATCAGTTCCTCCTCCCCAATGTCTCCACTCCTTTGTCCAGGCCACCAACATCTTGGCAAGAATCTCCTGACTTCCTGCCTTGCTCCTCTGGTCCTCAATACCCCAAGTCTTTCTCAAACATGAAGTTGATCTGATTATACACTCACATGTACACTACCCCCAACCTGTATTTTTCAGTGCCTCCCTGTTGTCCATGGGATGATGGTCACAGTTTCCCAACTGAGCAGAGTTGAGCTAAGATGGGCTGCAGACACGTGGTTTATGCCATCTAATAAAAGGCCTGTGGCTTGCAGAGTTCTCTGTGCTTGATCCAAGCTGGCATCCTCCCTGCATCCTGTGAGACCCGCCCTTTCCTCCCCAGTGCCAGCTCTGGCCTGCATTGTGCATTTCCCTGGTCCTTTCTGATTGCCCTCTTCCTTCCCTTCTGCTCGCTTTTCACTGCCTTGAGTCTTTCCTTGATCTCCCAGGGTATGTTCATTGCTCCCCTGGGCTCCCAGTTCCAGGTGCTTCTCTATTTATGCATGCCCTGCACACTGGACTGTCCTTGTCTGTTGGCTAATTTGCCTCCCGCAATGACCGGGGCGCTGGGAAAGCTTTGGCACCTCTGAATCCCCACATAAAGTACAGTGCTGCAGGCACTCAGGCAGCCATGCTAGCTGTTCCTAGAACTGATGGATAGATGGACAAAGTGTGGGTGGACACATGAAGGGCCAAGTGGCTTCTCAGAGCTGCTGTTGAGAAGTCACTGGCACTGTTTAGGAGGTTGGACTAGATGCCCTCTAATGACCCTTCCAAGCCAGAGATCCTGTCCTCTCTCTTTTTTTGTTTCTGAAGACCACTGCATCCTTAATCATTGTGCTCCTCGGGTCTGTCTGGGATGTGCCTTTCCTGCAAGACATGCTTGGAGGCTCATGCTGGGAGAGGCCTCCAGGCTTCTAGTCTCCAACCATGTTGGGGAAGAAGTTAGGACTTGCTGGTGGTGCCTGTGGTGCTCTAGGTCAGGTGTAAGGAAGAAATTGTCTATGTGCCTCTGGTGTTTTGTCCACGTTGTCCCTGGGCTAGGCTGGGCTGCTTCAACTGAGGTAGGGAGGGGAGGGAGCCCTTTAGCCTGAGAACTTCAGACAAGGAGGTAAGATCTGGAATTTTTAATCTTGTTTGAGTTTACAACAAAGTCTGTGGCTTGGCTGCTAAAACTCCGTGCTGGTAAGGGCTGGGAGAGCTCCTTATAGGGAACAAGGTGAGGCACAGGCCTTCGGTGTGAGACGTGGGCAGGGCAAGCGGCACAAGGTCGGCTCCTCCCCAACATCAGAGGCATCCCACATGTGGGCCTGGCCTCCGGACCTAGGCCTGGTCAGGAGAGCAGGAGCTGGCATTTCTATGGGCCTGTGGCAGCAGCCTATAGCTGGAAGAGGCGCTTGCTGGGCTGTAGGGCAAACTGGAGCAGGAAGCCCCTTGTGCTGCCCCGGATTAGTTCTATCCCCAGTCCTAGAAAAGGAGTTTGTAGCTTGGGGTATGCGGCAGAGGAGGGTAGGAGGGATTCGGTCAAACTGCAGGTCAAGAGGTCAGGGCTGGGGACTCAGGGCAATGGAGGCTGAGCCAAAGGGTTGGTTACTGACCTGCCCCTAGAGCGTCAAGGTCAGGTCAGCCCCTCCCACGAAGCGGGACTGGATGCAGGCCACCTGGGGCAGTTGGGCTTGGAAGTGCCTGATGGCAGCCATGCTGATACCAGGGCACATGGACACATCTAACATCCGGAGCTGCTTGCACGCCTGCCCAATGGTATCCAGAGTTCTGTGGGGAGGCCTCCAGTGAGTGCCTGACCTGGCATGGGGACCCAGCCCAGCCCCTGTACTGACTTGTGGCATCATCAGACAACTCACTGCTCTGTGAGCTGACTGCAGCTGGATAGGTTGAGGTGCCGCAGCCTCGGCCAGGAGCTGGCTGCCTGGGCCCAGCCCTCATCACTGAGGAGGCTGCAGTGACTCAGCACCAAGTGCTCCAGGCTGGGGCAGCCCTTGGCCACAGACACCAAACCCTTGTCTGTGAGTGCTGGCAACAGGCTCAGTGACAGTTGCCTCAGCTGGGGGAACCGGAGCACCTGCAAGGATGGGGTGAGGAGTGGGAGGGTATGATAGGGCACTGGAGCCCAGGGCTCTTCCAGGTTCCCCCACCCCCAGCCAGAGGTAGCAGAAGCCAAAGAGAATGGAACTTCTTCCAAGCAAAGAGTGGGTTGGCCTGGGCCTGGGTCTAGTGCCAGGATCATCAGCCTATCCACACCTCCAGTCCCAATCCCACACCTTGGCCAAACTGGCATCAGTTAGCTTGATGCAGGCTGTGAGGTCCAACTCCTGCAAGGCCCGCAGCATGAGCAGGGAAGGGCCCTGTGGCTGGGGAGGCTCTTTGGGGCCTGAGGCCTGATGCTCCAACTCTTGATGTAGCTGTGGGAAGAGGCTCCTGCTTCTCAGGTTCCTCCTGAGTTTGGCCCTCAAATGGTCCTAGAGAGACATTCAGGAGGGGCAGGGGGTGGGGGTGGGTAGCTGGATCCAGGGACCGCCCCCGCCTTCCATGACCTGCACCTGGGGCTCCTGTGTAGGCTCTTCACTTGGTTCCCCCAGCCCCAGAAGTCCCCAGTCTCGGAGCTCCTTGCACCAGGCCAGGCGCAGGACTGAGAGGTGGGTTAGGTAGGCACAGATGGCCTGCAGGGTCCTGTTGGTGAGGGCCACACAGGAAGATAAGTCTAGCACCCTGAGGCTTGGGCTCAGCACTGAGATCAGGGAGAGCACTGAGGCATCCTAGGAGGGAAGTGGAGAAGGGAGAGAGCAATGAGCAGGTGACTTCTGCAAGGGTCCCTATGCAGGTTCTACTCAAGATTCCAGCCCCACAGGCAACAGAGAGCTACCAATGGGTCCATAGAGGGAAGCAACAATGTCCCTGTGTTGGTGAAAGGTAGGGACACCAGGAGGAGTTTGCTGGAGGACAAAGGCCTAGATTGTCTGGGGCAGGAAGGATGCAGGTGGAAGTTTCTAAAGTATCTGCCCTGCCTGTACTCCAGGCCCCTCCTGAAGGTGTGGGCTAAGGCAGCCCTCTGACCACAGCTTATTGGACCCTCATTGGACATCTGACCCTAGCTGAGCCAGTCAGGTATGCTCCCTCTATAATGTGAAGCAGAACTCTGAGGTCACTGTGGGGGTAGGGCTGCCACCTGCCAGAAGCAGGAGCTAAGGGCAGAGTAGAGGAAGCTGGTTTGTAAAGAGATGCAGAGATACGGGGGAGAGCTGATAAAGAGACACATGGCGGTAACAGGAAGACAGAGTGGGGCAGGGCAAGAGAAGCACTTGTGGGGGAAAGGAGACGGTGTTCAGGTTGGAATGCCCTGGGTACATTGACAGTTTGAAGGAATGATCCACTAAAGAGGGAGAGACTGATTTTGCCAAGTTAGGGATGCCACCCAGAGGGACAGGGCTGAGTCCTAATGAACTGGCTGCAGCCAAGAAATGACCCTGTGACACATCATATTACCTCTGTCAGGTCCTGCCTGAGCAACCTCCCTGTGTAACCTCGGTGCCCATTCCCTGCAGACCCCTTCTTTCATCTTTCCTGCCTCCAGAACGAACACCTGCACTCAGTACCCCTACCCAGACTGCCCGGGTCACCGAGCACTTTGCATACGAGGTGTGTGCCACCTTGTGGGCTGGGCCAGCCTGGTGTCCTGGACTTCCCTCCATGCAGGCACACGGTAGGGGCTGAGCGGGGGAGTGCTGGCAGCAGCACTGTCTGTCCAGGCTCCTTTTCCCTTGTGTCCTAAGTTCTGTTCTCACTACTGTTCCTTGGACATAAACATTGGGCAGTTCCTCCCTGCTGCCACATGTGCAACTCCCCCAGCCACAGCCCTGGAGAGGAAGGAAGGAGATGGTGTGCTCACCTTGAGTGAGGCGCAGTAGGCCAGGCTGAGGGAGGCCAGTGGGGCTGGAGCTCTGTGCCCTGAACCCAGGGCCTGAGCCAGGCCCCACCCACTCACCAGGCAGCACTCTGCCAGGTCCAAGCTCTGCAGCTCCTGCAGGCACCCCAGGGCCGTACATCCTGCGTCTGTCAGCCACTGCAGCTTCCTCAGGCTGAGGTGCTGCAGGTGCCCCAGGCCCCGGCTTATGGCCACGAGTGCCCCGTCAGCCAGTCCTGAGCAGCCGCCGAGGTCCAGGGAGATCAGGCCCGATTGCAGGCGGCAAAGGGCAGCCACAGCCTCTGTGGAGAGGTCCTGGCAGCCATGCAGGCTCAGTTCCTGCAGCTGCAGCCCGGCCACCTGACCCAGGGCCTGCAGGGCCTCAGGGAGCAAGCCAGTGCCACTCAGGTCCAGGGCATGCAGCCTACCAGCCCTTTCCTTCACGAACTGCAGCAGGTTGTGGAAGGAGAGTTGGGAGGGGGAGGAGTCTTGGGGGCCAAGAGATCCCCAGGCTGGGCCAATTTCAAAGGTGAGGTGACAGTAGGCCAAGGAGAGGCGCTCCAAGCTGGGGGCACAGCTGCTGAGCCGGTTGAAGCTGAGGTCGGTCAGGTCCCACAGGCCAGCCAAGTTGAGCTCACAGAGGCCACTCAACACTTGCTGGACCCGCTGTGCCGTCTCGGGCTGAGCTAGTAGCATGCCCGATGTGAAGAGGCTGTTGCAGCCACTGAGGTCAAGGATACGCAGGGCTGGGCAGCCTAGGATCAGGGCCACAAAGGCGGCCTCCGAGGGGCTGCCCCCACTGAGGCACAAGCTCTGCAGATGCGGGCCCAAGTGGTAGGCAACACACTCCAGCACCTCATGCGAAGCTAGTGAGTCATCCAGGTTGGTCAGGCTGATACAGGTGATGCCCCTGAGGCCCAGGCTCTTGATGGCCAGGAGGGAGGCAGAGGACACAGGGATGTTGTACTGCACATTGGTCTAAGGGGCAGCAATAGGACTGGGGTTAGCCCTCTGGCTTCAGAGAGGGTTGGCCATCAGGTCTCTGAAGCCAGAGATCAGGGAAGGACCCTGTCACAATGGAGACCACTGTGCTGTGCGGTGTCATGTGTGGTCGAAGGGGACAAGTCACTCTGGGGCTCAAAGGGGATGACTTGAGGGGAGGAAGGTTAGTGATGGATGGGACTGGATGCCTACAGAGGGGTGGGGCATTGGCATGCTGGGGACAGGGGGCTGGGGGTGGCCTAGAGGAGAGCCAGTGAAGCCCCCAGGAGGCAGAAGGACAAAGTATGATAGATCCCAAACTTTGGGCCTTTCAGAAGGTGGCCCTGAGACCCACAGACTCAGCTCCTACTCCAGAGAGTCAGAGCTCAGCATTAGCTAAGCAACCAGCCTCCTTCGCTTTCTCGAGCATATAAATAGCCCTCAGAACAGCCAAAGGCAGTAAGAAGCAAAGCAGTTGTCACCACCACACCCTGGGTGGCCCAGGTGCCAGAAGTCTAGGGCAGGCAGTGAGGCCTTGGTCCCCTGGTGGCTTCAGTATCTTAGCCACATGAATGTTTGCAAAAATGGGTTTTGTGTGTCAGCAAAAATGTGTGCATACATGTATGCATATGTGTGTGCGCACCAACATGTGTGGGTCCTGCAGGTTCCAGAGTTCAAGATGTGCTTGAGATCCCTGGGGTTCATCTCTGGAGTGTCCATCTTCTTTGTCCAGGTAAGGAAGGAGAAGTCTCCTATTTCTGTGGTCAGAAGCTAAGAGAATGAATCTTGTGGTGCCAAGAAAGTGGGGCTGGCCCTGCTGTGGAGGAACAGGGGAGAGTGGAGAGTCCATGGCTGGTGTGGGGTGGAGCTCAGAGGCGAGCTCAGGGTTAAGTGAGGAGAACAGGCTGGCTTGCGTAGACATTTGGGGAGTCCCAGTTTTCACAGAAACTTCCCTGATTTTGTGCCAAAGGGAAGTTGGGACAGGTCTGTGAGGAACAGGTATGGGGGAGGTTTTTTCTACCTTTGATGGAAGCCCAGGGTGCAGGCAAGCAGTACTCAAAAGCTCTTGCTTTAATCCATCAACATGATTCCAATGCAGGAAAGCAAGCTCTCTAAAAAACCTGTCCTGTAAGTTACTGCAAGAACAAGCGATGTTCCCCACTTCTACCCCACAGAATATCATCAAAAGGAAGTCAGAAAGGTAGAAATGACACATAATACACACTCCTATAAGACACTTATTACAGGATTCTCCCAGGAAGACACATGAAACTCATTCCCGGGTACAGAAACTAGGCTGGCTTCTGTCACAGAGAGAAACAGATACCTATGGCTGTCATCATGGGAAGGAGTGTGTGGTGAGAAATGGGGGCCTGGGGCACCTGGCTGGCTCAATCGGCAGAGCACGTGACTCTGGATCTCAGGGTCATGAGTTCAAGCCCCACTTTGGGCATGGAGCCTAAAAGGAAGGGAAGGGAAGAAATGGGGGCTGGCTTCTGACTACTTCCACGGGAATCAGGGGTCAAACCGGGCTCCCTGTCCAGATCCCATTCCAGGAATGTAGGGATTGTGGGCCAGAGGATCACTTCCCACAGCCCCCTCTCGTGGACACTGGGAGACAATGGAGTAGTGGGAACCCCAAGGGCCTGCGTTCTTCTCTAAGATTTAAGGAGAGTGGGAAGATCCCACTGGGTGGGGAAGGTGATACAAAATGATGAAAAGAGCAGGGAGAAAAGGTTCTAGAAGAGAATGGTAAAGCAGACCTCCAGCCATTTGAAAGCCCTGCCTGACAGAGGAAGCAGTCTGATGATGAAGAGTATGCTGTGGCTGCCAAGCGCAGAGCAGGGCTGGCTGCCGAGGCAGTACTACCTCCACCCTCACATCTTGTGCCCCCACCCTCCCACCCCCAGGGGCTTGCCGTAGTCCTTGTTTCTCTTGCTTCCTGAGCCTTGGCAGCCAGGAATGTTCTCATGTTCTTCCCTCTCCCACAACCTCCCTATGAACAGGCAGATGAACAGCTGAGGGGGGGCAATGGTACTCAGCCTAGAGTCCAAGTCCAGGGTTGGTTGGTGGCAATAAAACCCATCAAATAAAGGCACAGGACCTGATGTAAAGCAGGTCTTAGCAGCTACTGGGAGGTGTGTGTGTGTGTGTGTGTGTGTTGAGATTTAAGACCGCCTCCTTGCTCCCCACTGTTTTTCTTGGTGGTGTGGGGGCAGCCTCTAAGCCATCACCCAGGTGGTCTGCCTTAGACTCAAAGTGCAGGTGCCCAGGAGCAGCCTTTTAGTGATATTTTTCATTTGTGGGGAGCAGAGCAGCAGACAGAAGAAGCAGGCTCCTGGATTCTGGTCTTTAGCCCCAGTGTAGGAAGGTACCCTTCCTAGGCCCTAGGAAGATGCTTCTAGAGGTCCAAAGGAGGACTGCAAGCATATCTGTTTTGTTCCAGCTGCCTCATCCACAAAGGAGCCAACTAAGCCCCATGTCCTTTTTACACAATGCTGGCATCTTAACAGTCAATGCCAAGATGCCAAGTCATTTGGAAAATGCCCTAAATCTGCTAAAAGGGGCACATATCCCTTGACTGTGAGAGGCCAAGACTTCATTGTACCTAATGAAGCCCTGAGCTGAAACTGCAGGCTTGTGGGCAAGATTGGAAACCCATCTGATAGAGAAATGGCTCTCCCATCTGCTGGCAGAGGGATCCCAAATGGCATGCTGTTCTCCAGAAGAAAGTGTATGCTCTGGCACCCAGGGGCTTTGGTCTATAGAGAGGAGCTAGACCTTGGGGGTCATTTCCAGAGGCTCCTGGGGGCCTTTATAAACACCCCAAGCAAGAGAAGGCAGTGGAGGGCAGAAGCTGAGCTGTCCTGAGTTCTTCACAGAGACCAACCCAGTGGCAGGCAACCAGGCTCTCACCGGAATGGGCAGATCCTGTGTTGGGGGGAGGGCAGGGGGGCACTGCCTTTGTCTACCTTCTTATTTGAGAAAAACTAGGATTAAGTGGGGGTAGGTCAGGGAGAATAACAAGTCATCAATCCAGCATCCTAGCTTGGCCTGGTGAGGCATGAATGAACCCCAGTCATGCTTTGGTGAACCAGTATCTTTGGTAGCACATACTAGCAGGAGGCGCTGCTTCCTTATCAACCTGCCCACATATGAGCCCTGGAAGATGGTTCCTGACAATGAATTCTGAAAATTGCTCTCTGGGACATGGTTGTGGTGGGATGTCAGCAGAACCCTAGATGCCATGTACCTGTGGCCTGGCCTTCCAGTGCTCCCAGCCCGGGTGGGGCTGAGTTTTGCAGAGCCACCAAATAGGTCTTTGCCAGCATCCCATCTAGGCCTCACAGTCAGCTGGAGGAGCCCCAGTGCTGAGATGGTGGATTCTACGATCTCAAACTCTGCCCTGGCCTCTTTCTCCTCACTCCCTTATCCTATTCTAATCTATTCCTTCCTGACTGCCCACTTTTCTTCTCCTGCCCTCTCCTTATTTGCTGGACTCAAAGAACCTCTGCCCTGATTACTTCTCCTTGGGGTCCTGTGGCCCTGCCTGCCATGCTGCCGTGCCCATTCTTCTTGCCCTCAGCCCTGCCAGGGACTATGAGACTGCTGCCTCCTCTGGGTCTATGCTGGGAGTACAGAATTCTGCCTGTGGAAGCCACAGTCTCCCCTCTTGCCTCCCCCACTGCCACCTCCTCCCCACCTTCTGGCTCTCTTCTCATCCCTCTCAAGGTTTCTCTCCATGCCCACCATTCTCTCCAGCCCCTGACACAAGTGCACCACCCTCCCCTCACTCCAACCTTCCCAGAGATGACCTGTTGTGTTTCAGAGAGAAGCCAAAGCCATCAGGTGGGAAGGCCCTCCCTTTGCCCTGTTCATATTCACCAGTTGTCAGGACCCATCCTAATCTCCTTCCCTCTCTTGCTCCTAATCCCCTTCTCTGGGCCTACTGGGCCTGCCCCACCTTCTTCCATAGTAACCCGCAGTCCACTGCTCCTTCCTCAGTTTACAAATGCCCCAGAGTCACAAAAAAGGCCTCCCTTGATCCTGCCTCCCTCTCCTCATTACTCCTGCTTCTCCCCTTTCCTCTGACGTCAGGTCTCTTGGAAGCATGTGGGCACACCTATACCTGAGCTTAGCCGCCTTTTTACCCCTTGCCTCACCCACTTACCCCTCCCATCCAGCAAGGTCATCAACACCTGGGGGCTCCTCTCAGACCTCCTACAAGTGTCCTTTCTGCCATGCCACCTGCTGTGGATGGCCAGTTTCCTCCATGCTATGTTCCACTGGGGGCTCTGTGGCTCTGCCTGCCTGGCTCTCCTCCTACTGTCTAGCTTGTTTCCCATCAGCCTCTTTTGGGGTCACCAAAGAAGAGAGAGAGTGAGTTCCTCATGGTATGTTCCACCCCACCACACACACACACACGTACGTGCACACACTCTCTGCTGTTCTCCCTGTGCGCCCTGGCAGACTGCACTTCATCCCAGTCCAACGACTTTACTTGCGGACCCTGGGAATTAGTTACCCGATGGAACTTGCCAGATACACAGGTGTAACATGACCACGTCTGAATTCACTGTCTTATCCCCCACCGATGCCCCTTTTTCTTAACTCTTAGTGCCCTCTACCAAGTCACCCAAGTCAGAGATCTGGGAGCCATTCTAGACCCTTCTCTCACACTCCACATTCATGGTGACCAAAGTCCCTTCCATCTTATCTCTCTGACACACTGTAGCATGCATGTCCCTCTGCTCCTGCCTCATAGCTTGTGCCCTAGATCAGGTTCCTGTATTGTCTCTCAGAAATACATTACAGCAGTTGTCCCCTTTTGAGGGTCCTGGCCCTCAGTCTTTCTGGCTCCATTCTAGTCTTGGTACTGTCACCAGGTGATCCTTATAAAAGGCAAATTGACCATGCTCTTCAGACCCCTTGAAGGTTCTCTACTCCATGCGACGGAAGCTGAGCTTCTCTGCCAGCACTGGAGCCCTGCCTACTTCTTTGCGCCCAGCTTTCCCACACCTGCCCCCGCTCCCCCTCCCTCCCGCCCCCAGCCCTGGCTCTGGGAATGGCACTTCTTATTGGTGCCTCATGGTGCCATGCCTCCACTTGGCTGCTTTTTCTGTTTGGTTGTAGTGATGAGTGTGAGGGTTGTCTCACCTCTCACCTACTCCTATTTGTCTATTTGGCAAATATTTATTCCCCTCTCTAGCCTCATCCCAGGCACGCCCTTCTCCATGAAGTCTTTTCTGAATCTTCTCTGATCCCCTGTGTCCCACACAAGACTCCAAATGCAGCACTACTACTACCTACCCACTCCTTTGGCTTGTGCTTACTACCAACTCACAAGTGCTGTGCCTCCCCCAGCCCTGCAGCCCCAGGGCCCAGCACAGGGCTAGGCACAGACAGGCAGCATCAGTATCTGAGTGAGTGAGGGCTCTCTGAGCAGCTCTGGTAACTCTCCCACTTCCTTCTGCCCTGGAAGATTCCAAGCCTTTGTGCTGAGGCCCCTGCCTCTACCTCTCTTTTTACTTCCCTATGACAATGTGGCCCCCAGATTCACCCAGCAAAGAGGCCACTAGCTTCAGAGGAGCTTCCTCAGCAAACTGCTCCACACTGCCACTTCCTGAGAAGCGACATCCTCCCCACCCTATCGAAGACCAGGCCTGTATCACCTCAGGTGGCATCCACCATTTCTCACCTCTCTTCTTCATTCATTCACATTCGCCCCTCCTTTATTACTCTCTGCAGCATAAGAACACATTTGAGACTTCTCCCAATGAAAATCCTTTTGTCAAGTCCCCTCAACCTCTCATCATTGCCCCATTTATTTCCTTCCTTTCGTGGGGAAATTTCTTGCAAAGGAGGTCAACTGTCTACACTGTCCTTCTTATCTCATTCATTCCTCCACACACCTGGCTTTTCCTCCAGATGCCAAGTGTTGCTGAAGTCACTGGGGACCTCTCTGGACATTGGACATCACAGACACTATCTGCTCTTTATTTTCTGGACTCTTCATGGGATATGACACTGTTAGTCATCCACTCAACACTGTAAATGCTCTCCACTTATGACTTCTGCCCCCTCTTCTCACTGGAATCTCCTCTATGCCTCACTGGTGCCTCCTCCATACCATGCCCTTAGACTGGTGTACTCCCCCTGGGGATTCTGTGGCCTGCTCTTCCTATGGATCGTCATGTGCTCCCTGGGGCAAGTTACTTAGATCCATGTTTCAACCTCTACCCATTCTGTAATGATACCCACCTCTGTATTTATTACTGAGACACTTCTCTTGAACTCCTCATTCAGAAATTCAACAACCAACTGCATCTCACCATCTTGATGTCTCATACTTCAATTTTCCACAAGTCCAACTATCTTTACACACTAACTAAGCTCAATGATACAGGACAGATTACATGACAACAGACCCTATGTGTATACACACATTTAATGTGTGACAGAGGAGAAGTCCAACCCAGAAAGGAAGGGGAAGATTATATATAAATGGTATGAGGGCTATTTGAAAACTAATTAGTTTAGTTTCTTATCTGACAGCATAAATCAAAATAAATTTCGCCAATTAAAAAAATTACTATAAAAATTGAAACCATAAAATAGAAGAAAAAATTGTGTTGTGAACTTAAAACCTCTCTAAAAAATAGAGTCTAATAAAAAAAAGGAGAGAAATATGAGGTACATCAAATCACTGAGGAGGCAAGGGGTCTCCAAATTTAAAAAGCAAGAAAACAAAAGATGTTCAGGATCCACAACATAGAAATTTAACCTCTGTATCTCATAAATAAGCACATACCTACAAATCAAATTCAAAGGCAAATATGTTAGGAATATATTTCAATGAATATGTAAAAGATTAATCTCTTTAATATATAAAAGGTTCATACAAATGGATAAGGAAAATACTACGATGCTAATGATTAAATGGATAAAGAACGTGAATAAACAAGAGAAGGAAATAGAAATGGTCAGCTAATGAGAAAACTGTTCAACCTCAGGAATATTCAAAGAAGTCAAAATTAAAACAAACAAGGAGCTTTCACTGCTTGCCTTTCAAACTGTCACAGATGTCTGCACGCACTTCTGAGCTGGGCTGTCTCCCCAACCCCGACTCACCCTCTCCAGTCCACTCTGCACTGCAGAGATCTAAGACACATCACACCTTGTCACTCCCCTGCCTTAACATTCCTTTAAAGGCTCCGTGATGGTAATCAGGATGGAACCCCAGCAATAGCGCCAGTTTGCAGCCTGACCTCTCTTTAGCTTCATCTCCCACCACTTCTATCTAAGTTCTAGTCACATGGAACTTGTGTGGTCATATCCAGAACTGTTTCACACCTTGGCGCCTTCACCTGTGCTGTTACCAGTATGGAAGACCAACCTTCACCCTTATCCTATTCCATGAGGAAACTTTCCCTGATGCTGCTGCTCTCCTTTGGATGCCCTTCTTCCTGTTCTTGTTGCACCCTTCATTCCAATGTCATAGCACCCAACACACGACATCACGATCACTAACGTACTTGTCTTTCTCCTTCACTGGACTATGAGCTCCTCTGGGCAGAGGACTATGTCTTATTTATCTGTAAAGTCCCAGCACTGTACCCAGAGCCAACTATGTATGAATGTAACATATGTGTGAACAAGTGTGCATGGATAGATGGATGGATGGATGGATGGATGGATGGATGATGTATGAGCAGGGCCACAAGCAAACTGAAGTGACAGACAACTGAGAATGGGCCAGATGAGGGTGGCCACCTTACCTCCCGAAGAGCATTCTGGGCTGCACAGTACCAAGCCCGACTCACGAGGGAGGCCTCTTTCTGATCTGACAGAGGCAGGAAGCTCAGAATATATGTGAGCATCTGAGGGAAAAAGACAGGACATTGGAAACTGTAAGAACTGGGGGCCTTTGGAACCTTCTCCACCTGGTAGAATAGTAGGTCTGAGGGGACTGGAATACTGGCTTCTAGTTCGTCTTTAATCCTAAGCTTCATGGGATCTTCACTTCCCCTCTCCAGCCTCTAAGGATCTTTCCTGTGAACAAACCATTCCTGAGCCCCACCTGGATGCAGGTTTGTATTGATTGATAAAAAGCAAACTTCCCACTCAGTTTGGTAAAAAGAGCCTGGGCACTGGGACTAGATAAACCTAGTTCAATTGCTTATCTATCACCTGCCCTCTCTGAGTCTTGTTTTTCTAATCTGTAAAATGGCAAATGTAGTGAGATCTAAATGGGTTATGGTGAGCATCAAGTAACGTAGTAAAGGGTCTGGCATAGGACCTCAGACACAGCAAGTCAGATCTCCTCCTCTGATCTTCAGAAGCCACACCCCATCTACCTGCCATCACAGGTCAGGCTCTGGGTCTTCCCTCTTTCCCCATCTTCTCCACTGCCAACCTGCTTTCTCAGCTGGCTGTTAAGCTATGATCCCAGCAGGACCCAGCCCAGGTGCTCAGGCCGTCACTCCACACATGCTCTGTGAGGCTGGAGGCCCTATAAGGGACCGGGAATGGAGTCGCCTGTGAGGACAGGAATGATCTAATATTAACTATTCTTTTCTTCTGGAATCTTCTCTCCTGGACCATTGTGACACTGTGTTTTCCAGGGCTCCACTCACCACTCCAATTGCCCTGTTTCCGGATTCTTCTGTGGCACCCAGGGTTCAGACCTGGGTCTTTCAATCTGAGGTTTATTTCCAAGGATAATAAATTTGTTTGCATGGCTTCAACAGTTACCTCTACAGGAATAACCAACAATTCAATATCCCCGTATTGTCTCATCATTCATGTGCTGGTCCAGTGTTGCCAATTGTCCACAGGATCCTTCATCTAAATGTTTTACTATCACCTTTATCTCAACCAAAATTCATATTCTCAGTCTAAAGCATCCCTTATTCCCAACTTTCCAGTATCTGAACTTCAATGCCAACAGTGCATCTTACCTGAAGACCTTGATACTTTGAACTCTTCGTGCTCTTCTGTCCCTTGCTGTCAGATACAGGTGTACAGCACAAGCTTTAGGCCAGGCTAACTTAGACTCATTCAAATCCCCACTCTACTGCTTCTGAGCTCTGTGACTTATGTGGCCTCAGGCAAGGTAATTGACCTCTCTCAGCTTCAGTTTCCATACCATACACATATATACAGGTATATATACATATATTTAATAGATATAATGTGGTTGACAACTAGTAGATGTTCCATAAATGGTTGCTGGATTGCTGCTACTAATATTTTTACCACTGAAACTTTAGAATCTCAGCAGCCCAGATCTTCATTACCCCAGACGTGGGGCGCTTCTACAATCTCCCACCTGCCTCCAGGCTCATCCTTGCTAGTCATTCTGCACACTGCAACAAGGTTAACTTTCCTAAAAAAAAAACCAGCATTCAGTCTTAGTATATCCCTGATGAAAACCTGCAGGGTACCCTAATGCCCTGAGGACAAAATCTCCACTCTTGGGTCAGCACTGCCAGGCCCTATGCCTGACCGGATCCCTGATTCCAGAGCTTCCCCAGTTCAGTCTCCCCACTGTCCTATAAACATAGCATGCCTATTACTTTTTGCCTATGTGGGTCTCTTTCCTGGAATGCCCTTCCTTAACCTTGACCTCACCAGTGCATTCTAATCTCTTCTTCCTTTCTTTGATTCCTAGCACCAGAAGGTACTCAGCCAATACTTACTGGATTGAACTAAAGATGGACAGTCCTATATCTCTATTTTCACCAAAGCCCTCTACCTGTATTTTCACCAAAGGTTTGCTAAGGGAAGGGATGGGGAGAGAAAGCAGATCACTTTACCTGAGAGAAGTACTGGGGACTGGGGAGAACAGCCTTCTAGGCCAGGAAGGCTAGGCATGGGGAAGAGAACACTGATGAGATTGGGACTGACTAAGCCCCCAATCCCAGGGGAAGGCAGGGAAGCCTATCTGAGCCAAGTTAAGACAGTGGCCATCCTGTCTTCTGGGGCTCAGCAACCAACCCAAAAAGCAAAGGGAGAAGGCAGTACACCTGTCCTCTCTGAGGGGAGGGAGCATGATTCTTTGAACTGAGAAGGGGGTAGCTTTTCTAGAGGGAAGAAGAGGCAGTGATAAGGATGAAGAGGCCATCCCATGAACCCCATCCTAAGGGGCTACTAGAGATAAAACTGGTCATTCCTAGGATCTATGGAGATGGAACAAACATCCTCTGGAGCCCAGGAGATAAAGGATGCCATGGCAGGGGAGTCAGCGGAGTGGGAGCTGTCTTATTCTTGCTAAGGAGAAGGACCACCGTTCCAGGGCCAATGAGTAAAGGGTGACTTGCCTCTCACGGACAGCAGGAGGGGGATGCCAACTCTCAAGGCAAAAGGGATGGAGAGACCATCCCAAGAGACCACTGGCAACAAAACCTGTTCTCTGTCTCTGGCCAATGGCGATAGAGTGCTCTTGCTCCAGGCTAAGGAAAAGGCGCAAACATCCCATGGGGTGAAGGAGGTAGGGGCAGCCATCACTAGGGGCCTAGGGAGTGGGGAGCAAGCCTGTCTTCGGTGAAGTAATTCAGCGACTGTGCCTGGAATTGATTGAAGGGGGCAGTCTGCTTCCCACCGCCAGGGGGAGGGGCAAAGGGAATGAAGTGATCACCCCAAAGAGGCCAACGAGGATACGGCCGGTTACCCTTCGGGGACGATTGTATGAAACGGACATCTTCCAGAACTGAGGGGGAAGGGGCGGCCATCTCTAGAGAGGTGGGTAGGCTGAGACCCTGTCCTGGTTGAGGTGACGAGGCAACCAAATCGTGGAGCCGATGGGGGTGAAGAGAATGGTTCCCCCAAGCTAAGGTGATAGGGTGGCCCAAAGGCGGGGCCGTTACCCATAGCCAGCAGATCCTGGGATCTCCCCGGCGGGTCGTTTCAACCAGGCGGGCAGAGCCGGGCGAGCTGTCTGACAGCCCCTCCCCACAGCCCGGGACCCCGAGGGCGGAGCCTGTCCCAAGCTAAGCCTGAGGGCGGACTCCTCTCACCTCCTGGGGCAGCGACTCCGCCATCGCATCCCAGCCGCCACCGCCCCCGTGCAAGCCTTTCTGGGAAATGTAGTCTTACCGACTTTCGGGGGGAGGGTCTTGGGAAGGAAGTGGATCCCCCACTTCCGTCACAGTTGTGACGATTTGGGTCTGCACCGGAAGTGCCTGTGCTGCCGATGTGGTACCTTTTGACCGCGGTTTCGGTCGCTCTGCCTTGTTTTCCTTGCTGGGTGTTTGCGTTGCGCCATGGCGGTAAGGAGGGCGGGTAGGGCGGGGTTCGCAATGACCGAACCTTCCCGGGGTCGGGAGACTGAAAACAGAGGAGGGACATCAAGGGAAGCGGGTCAGCCAGAGGGGGGCGCCGTGAGGTGGCCCTACCGTACTAGAGCTAGCGGGCGGAATGGAGCCGCGCACGACCATAGAAGTGGTCCGGGAGGGGAGTGAGCGTCAGTACCAGGCTGTCCCAGACCTGGCCGGAGATCTTAGGGGCCTGAAAGGGGGTGGGCGTCAGCCAAGATCTGGACTACTCCAGCAAAGGCCGGAAGGGCGCACCATTCAGCGCCCCTCAGGAGTCCCCCTTGAAGGGGTTGTCAGCCCAAAGCTGGACCAGGGGAACCAGGACATACCAGCCTAGTGTTGGAATTTTCCAGGGTGAGCAAGAGGCGATCGTAGCTAAGGGGTGCAGCACAGATGGTGTCAGCTCTAACCAGGATGGAATGGAGGAGGGGTGGACATCTCTAGGATTGTGCTAGATTGAGCACCATGGGGATCTGGGTTAGGTGCAGGAGTAATTCTGTAGCTAATCAGAGTGGTGGGCAGGGTGAGGAGGACCCTGGCTGAGGAGGGCTCTGACAGCATCTTACCATCATCCCTCTGCAGCCCAAGGGCAAAGTGGGCACGAGAGGGAAGAAGCAGATATTTGAAGAGAACAGAGAGACTCTGAAGTTCTATTTGCGGATCATACTGGGGGCAAATGTAAGTGCCTTCCTTCTTTCTTCTGTGCCCACCCAAGGTCCCATTGTCCTCATTTCTGGGTGTGTGTGTGTGTGAGTGAGTGAGTGAGGGGGTGGTATGTGACAGCCATGTGTAGTTTTCCAGAAGAAAACTACAATTAAAGAAAGGAGAATGGACCCTGGCACAAAGAAAGTGCTGAGTAGTCAAAAACAAAACAAAACCAAAAAAACCAAATGAGGGTTTGAGTCTCAGATGAACTTGAGCCCATTCTTCTGATCCCAAATACACAGGGCCTTCTTTCCTGGACTGACACATCAGAGGGGAGCCGGGGTACTCAGGACACAGGGAACAGACCCCTTTCCCCCACAACCCTATGAGACACAACTTGTCTCTTTCCACAGCCTGGCCTAACTTTTGGTCACAGTCTAGGGAGACCCGTGGTTTAGGGTAGGTTTTGATTCCAGCCTGACCATGTATCTGCTTACAGGCCATTTACTGTCTTGTGACCTTGGTGTTCTTCTACTCATCTGCCTCATTTTGGGCCTGGGTAAGTGTCCCCTTTCCTGGGGAGTGGGTGAGTGTGTAGGGTTAGTGGCTGGTCTTTGATACCATTCTTATTCTGCAGATGGCCCTGGGCTTTAGCCTGGCAGTATATGGGGCCAGCTACCACTCTATGAGCTCAATGGCACGGGCAGCCTTTTCTGAGGATGGGGCCCTGATGGATGGTGGAATGGACCTCAACATGGAGCAGGGCATGGCAGAGTGAGTGTCCCCCGCTGCCAGCCCAGGTGAGCGGCCCCAGGGCTGGGGTTTTGGGGCCCAGATAGCCCAAGACCCACAATTGCCCACAACTTGAAAGGGTAGAAGGGAGATGAACTGGGGCCCATCTCCTATTTTTGGCCCTTGCAGCCTCCTTTCTATTCACAGGCACCTTAAGGATGTGATTCTACTGACAGCCATCGTGCAAGTGCTTAGCTGCTTCTCCCTCTACATCTGGTCCTTCTGGCTTCTGGTGCGTGGGTTGTAGGGCTCCCAAGAAGAGACTGGGGCATCTAAACTTTCTAGTCTTTCATTTCCTGCACCAGGCTTCAAGTTAACTTTTCTGTCCTAGGCTCCAGGCCGGGCCCTTTACCTTCTGTGGGTGAATGTGTTGGGCCCTTGGTTTACAGCAGACAGTGGCACCCCAGCACCGGAGCACAATGAGAAACGGCAACGCCGGCAGGAGCGGCGGCAGATGAAGCGGTTATAGCCACTGACATTATGGCCACAGGCTGCACGGCCCCCATGCCAGGAGCAAGGAGGGCCTCGTCCAGGGCCCAAAAGCGGTCTAAGGTATAGGATTGTTAAATAAATGGCTCAGAATGTGGCTAATGGCTGTGTGGGTGATAATGAGGGTGAGACAGGAAGAGCCAGTCGTTTGGTATTAGCCTCCTGCTACAGACTGAGTGTGGTACCTTCAAAGAAGGAAGAGAGTCTTGGATTGGCTAGGAAAACTTTATTATACTCCATGCATTCAGGGAGCTCATACAAGTACATATACACACACAAACACACAATTGCATACAGGCACACACAGCTAATACTGCTCAAGGCACTGTCCACTGGGCACACAGTGGCCTTAGGGTTGAGAAAAGGCCCAGAATTCTGCTTTGATTCCTCCTCATTCTCTAGTCTCTTACATTGCAGGCTGAGGCCCGTCCATGTCCTAGAGGCAGTACCTTCACACCTCCAGGCCAGGACCCTTGCTCAGTCCCAGTGCCTGCACCAGGTCCTCTCCGAGCCCGCTCTTCAACGTCCGTCTCACTGCAGGAACAGAGAAGAGTTAGAGAGGGTTGATGTGGTTAAGGCGGGTAGTGGGCGTTTGGGGAATACTCACAAGACTTGCGGTTGCCACGGGACCGCTTGCGCTCCCGAGCAGCTAAGGCACGAGGACTGCTCTTGGTCACTGACTGTACCAGCAGGTCCATGATCTCATCTGAAGTGTCACTGGGTAAATTGGAGACTGGGGGTTCTTCTGGGGGTGCAGTGGAGGGCCCCATTGCTGTAGGCATGACTGGGGAGGTGCTCTGGACCATTCCTGAGAGAGGTCAGATAGAGAAGTCAGGATAAGGTGACCCCAAAGCCCATTGCCCCCAGTGGCCATAGGTCCCACCTCTGCTGCGGCGGCCATGTGTGGTGTCCTCCGGCTTGCTGGTCAGCAGACTCTTCATGCTGGCATGACTGTCAGCATCACCCCGCCCTGGCCCACTGCCCACGGCCACTGGGACAGATGGGTTGCTGGGGACTTCCCCAGCCACACCTGAGAACTTTTCTGTCTGTAGAGGGGAGAAGGGTGAGCTGGGCGCAGGGGAAGGAAACCATGGGGGTGGCAGTCCAAACCTGGAAAAGGTACCTACCTCAGTGATCATGCGGCCCCGTGTCTTGTTGCGCTCACGGTACGTGGCCCGCTTTTGCTGCTGCTGTAGCACCCGTTCCCGGCAAGTCCGATACTCCAGTGCAAACTCACGCAGCGTGTGGCAGAACTGCATGATGCGCACTTCCCGGGCTGCCTGGGCCGTGTACCCCAGGTACAACAGGAAGGCATGGAACCTAGGCAGGTTGGGGTGGGGAGGGATGGTGAGTCCTGCTTAGGGTGTGAGGGATGGTGATAGCAGTCCTGCCCTCTGCCCATGTCCCCACCTGTTGCAGACACGGCGGTGTACTACCCGCAGCATGGCAACACGGCGGCCACACTGGGCCAGGAAGTGGGTGAGGCGGGCACGTAGGGCTGGGGCCAGCTCATGTTTGGCCAAGTTCCGTAGACTCTCCTCAGCTGCCCGGCTCCGACGCTCCAGCTGCCCCAGGTTCTCAGTCAGCTGCTCAAAGTCCACCTGGAAAGGCAGGGGGTATGCATGTTGTCTCCCCAAAGACAGGCACCACCTGAGGCTGCCTCTGTCAGGCCAGCCAGTCTGGTCCCTAGAGATATAGAGAGCCAAAAAGCCTCCGCCTGCCCTCCAAAAGCTCACAGTCTAATCCAGGAAAGAGACAAGTCCATTTGATATAATGGGGAATGGAAAAGCTCTCTTGAGGGAAGTGGTGGCTAAATGAAGACCCAAAGACAGTAGGTGTAGCCAGGCCAATAGAGGAAAGAATGTTTCTGGTAGAGGATACAGCCCACACAACACCTGTAGCTGAGCACACTCTGGCACAGTAGCCTGAACACGGAGGAAAAGCCAGCCCCAGAAAGCAGCACTCCCTTTTGCCATGGCTGGTCTTAGTCAAGCCTCTGGCTGATGCTAACCTTGGCACAGCGAGTCAGGGCAGGTATTTCTGAGTAGAGGTCAGAGGAATCAGGCCGGGTCTGGAGAACCAAGGAACAGAGATGGTGCAGCAGTGACTGTCGGCGCACTGTGTCCTTCACCTCTGACACCTTCTCCAGGTAGCTCAGCTCAAAGCCGCTGCTCTGAAAGGACCCCATCTGAGCCTGGGCCTAGCAGGCTCCAGAGCCCTGGCCCCCAGCCCTCATGCACTCCCACTAACCTGGGAACCGTTGAGGAAGTTGCCCACAGCCAACAGGGTGGCCAGGATACAGCGGAAGGTGGCATTTTGCACCAGCTGTTCCATGCCCACTTTCAGGTCAAATAGCGGCTCTGCGATTTCCTGGAGTGGGAGACAAAGGACTCTCAAACTATCTGGTCCTTGTGCTCACCTGCCCCACTTCCTGCCACATGCCATGACCTAAGTACCCGTTCCATGCTGTCATAGTCCAGCTTGAAGGCCCAGAGTTGTAGACGTGGGGCCAGGCCCCCAATGGAGGCAAGGGTCATCAGGAAATTCTCAGCTGGGCCCAAGGGTATGTCAGGATTGGCCAGCTGGGCCTCCTCAATCTTCTGCCGCTCCTCTTCCGTGGGCATCATAGTCAGCAGTTTCTGAGGATACAACCACCACCCCACACGAAGTCCCCTCAGTGCTGGCCTGAGGCCTCAGATGTTGGTCTTGACTCATCCCTAGGTCATTTGGTCATTTGGGGTATCCCCAGGGCCTGGGGAACTGCTCTGTAGAAATGCTAAGCCCATGCCCACCATTGGGAGGGACAGGAAATGCCCACTGACCAAAGGAGAGGGCCAGACCTCGCACCTCCCTGTCACACCCTTAGCTGGTATCCCTACCTCAATGCCATCCTTGCTGACAGCAAACTCATCAAAGTTGAGCAGGGCAGCCTTAATGACATGCACAGGTGGCAGGGTGGTTAGGCCAATGTTGATAGCGTTGCTGCGCTTGGGGTCCAGCACTGTGGTCATTGTCCGGCGGCCCTCACCAGCTTTCTTTAAAGTTGGCAGAGGGCAGTGTAAGATTGGGAAAGGGACTAGCTGGGGCAACAATCTACAAGGGCACTCTAAATAGCCCCTCTAAATAGCCAGATGGTGGGGGCACCCCACAACCAGGGATCTGGGATATGTAGGGCCTTGGGATGAGCTTAGATTCTAGTTAGGGCTAGGCTCTGCTGATTCCTTGTTGAGAAACCTCAGACAAGACTCAATGCCTTTCTTTGCCTTGGTTTTCCCATGTGGGAAATGAGTGGCTGTCCCTGGCAGTTCAGACCCTTCAGTTCTGATTCCCTCCTCTTTCCGCTGGGGTTACCTTGCAGATGAGGGTGGGTTTACCTTGGAAGGCAGCACATCTTTGGCACGGGACTCAAACAAGTGTTCCAGCCGGGCTGTGTCCACCGAGACAGGTTCCAGTGAGGCCCACAGTGTGGGGCAGGGCCCAAAGCGGCTCCCAGAGCCTTCATGACCCCCAGCCAGCTTTAGCTCCCGCCAGAAGAGTTTTACTGTCTTCCTCTTGGTGGGGAGGGCTAAACCATCAGGTGCTGAGGGAGGAAGGGGAGTGGTGGGAGGTGGAGGTGGTGGGAGTGAGCCTTTGATGGGTGGGGGAGGTGGGGGTGGAGGAGGTGGGCCACCTCCAGAGAGCACAGGCAGTGGGGGCGGTGGGGGTGGGACCCCTTTCCCAGCCTCCACAGCCTCCATGTTCAGCATGTCCTCGTCTTCATCCTCCCCCAAATCTGAGAAGTCCAGGTCTCCAATGCAGAGCTTAGGTACACGGATAGGGAATTCCTGAATGGGCTCAGCCTTGGGGCTTGGTGGGGCCAGTGGCTCCTTGGGCTCTGGCTCAAGGCTCCGCTGGGCCCGGAGCAGACTTCGGGGGGCAGGGCTCTGGGGTGTTCTGGGTGCAGGGCCTGGTTCTGGGGAGCCCCATAGTTCCCGGGTATCTAGAGAAGAGAAGCAGCTGTCAGTGTCACGCCCTCTGGAGCAATAGGGCAACATGAGTGGATTCTGCCCACCCACCTACTCACCTGGGTGTCCATCAGCCTCATCAGGCATGGCCTCAGCCAGTGTCTCTGCTCGGCCCTGGGCCAGTGCAGCCTGCTTCTCTGTTTTTGCTGCTGCCACATTCTCCAGGAACCGGGCTCTGAGGGGAGGTACTTGTCAGTGAGGGTGTCTGACACACTCCAGCCCAGGGTGGTGTACATGCCTTGCTGGGCCCCTGGGCACTGCCCCAAATTGCAGGCACACACAGACATACAGAGAACAGTCCATGCGCTGAGCAGACCCAGGACTTGCCCTCCCAAGGCAGCCCCTGTTCATTCCTCCACATCTGGGGAGGGTCACTGCCAAACCAGCCTTCCCAGGTCAACATATGGGGAGAAGTTCTACTTAACAGCTAACATGCAACCTTGCTGCTGTTCACATTCACTGTCTGATTCTAGACCCTTAGAGCAGGGGAAGGGGATAGCTGTTCCAATGGGCACACCAGGCTGTCCCATGTCTGGTAGCTTCTGAGAGCTATGACCCATGTCTAGAAAAGGGCCTGGGAAACAAGCATTCAGCTCAAGAGTCCCATGCTTTACTGAGTGAGCTACCACAACAGGCATTCAATTTATGTTGGAATAATGAATGTGATCCAGTGTCTATTTTTCAGCCCCTCTAGCCTTTGTTGGCCTTCAGTCCCTGCCCTTCTTCCCTCAGCCCTAGGTTGCTCCTCCACCCCTATACCACACAGCACCCTAGATCCTAGCCCCCTTCCCTATTCCTGGGCTGAGGACATGGAAGAATGGGCTCCAGATTGGGAGTCCGTATCTTCATTTCTGGTTGAAACTCGTTAAGGTGTCACTATTGAACACTATGACCCCAGTGAACTGCTTTCCAGTGCTTGGTCCTTGGGTAACAAAGGAGGGCTATGTATGGGAGAGGATGGGCCTGAGAGTCCCCCAGCTCTGGCTGCATGAGGCACATGGAACCCCCGCTGGGGGAAGCAATGCTGAAGCCCTGAGCAAATGGCAGGCCTGGCAGGCTGGCCTCTGTACTTACTCCAGCACTGCCTGCTCAGTAGGGGACTGAGAGACAGGTGGGCTCTCAGGGGCCCTGGGTAGGGGGGATGAGAGGAAGAGATGGTAATTATGGTGCCTGCTCCACTCCAAAGCCCAGTTGCTTGTACCCACACACAGCTGGGCAGTAATATCAGGGGTTCCTTCCCAGCCCCAGTAGAAAGAGGAGGGGTGGGGGTGACAGGACATGAAGAAACTGGAAATGGAGGGGACAGACTGACATGAAGCAGGACAGGGCACAGTAAGAGACAAAGAACAAGAGAGTCAAGAGACAGTGACAGAGAAATAAAGAAGGGGGGCAAGGAGATAGATGACAAAGGGCAAAGACAGGCAGAATGCCAGAAAGAGATGAGACAAGCAGGAGGAGTAAGAGGTCCAGTCAGGGCTGAACCCCACTCCCCAGCAGTCACTTACCAAACAGGAGCAGTTTGGTGAAGTCTGGAAAGAAAGAGAAAGCATGCGTTTGGGCAGAGGAGTTTGGGCAGAGGAGGCGGAGGGCCTGTGGAGGGGCTCAGTGGAGGGACAGCTGGAGAGAGGACTCTAGGGGTGGCCTCCACTATCTTCCTACTTACTTATAGATGCTCCTCTCGCTGGAGCTGTCGGCTGATGGCCCCACAGAGATGGCAGGAAAGAGGTTCACCGAGGTAAGGAGGCCAGAAGCAGGGCCCACGAGGCTGGAGTTCAAGCTTGTCGACAGGGCAGGGCCAGTGGAGTAGGTGGAGGTTACCGTTGAGGCCAGGTCTGAGGGGCTGGAGGTGGGGCCTGTCTGTGAGGCGGGGCCTGCGCGGCTAGAGACAGGGCCTGTGGGGCTGGAGGCGGGGCTTATCAACATACAAGGCCACTGCAGGCAGATCCACACCTCCCCAAGTGCTAGGGCAAGTTCTATCTTACCCAGGCTCCGTGGAGCGCAAAGGGCAGCTCCCGCCTTCTAGAGATCGGCGGCTCCTCTTGCCCTCCTCTGAAGAGGGCTTTCTGCGTTCCCGCCTTCCACCTGCAGCGGCTTCATCGATGTCTCCATCCTCCAACCGCAGGGCATTCTAGTGGAGGTAGACCCAGATGTGAGCCGCTGGCGAACTGCACCTCCTTCTTCCCCGCCAGTTGTGCCCAGGTGACCCAGCCCACCTCATAGAGCACAAGCTGTGTGCGCAGGTCCACATCAGTACCCGAGGTGCCCAAATGGCGCTGGACCAGGGCCTCCATGCCTTGCTGCTCCAGTGCATCTGTCACATCATAGAAGGTGTCCTGGTCCGGGAGTGCTGCCAGTGTCTAGAGGGTGGGGATGGGAGGGCAAGGCTAAGGCTGGTGGAGACTGGAAGTCAGGAACCTAAGGGTCCCAGAATTGGCACCTGGTTCCCCCCTATTCGGCCATACCCACCTTGTTGATGAGGGTGACTGTGTACACCAACAACTCAGGGTCAGCGCCATTCTTCTCCTCTAGGATGGACACCAGATTGGCCCAAGGAAGACAGCCTGACACAGAAAGGGGAGCAGTCATGCGGGGACAGGTAGGAGAGAGGGCTCTGAGTGGGGGTTGAGGGGGGAGAAGGAACAGTCTCTCACCTGTAGAGCTGGCCACAGAACTGACAGCATGGATAAGCAGCGGTGCATTGTTCTCAGAGTATTCCACAAACACCAGCAGCAGCTTCAGGGCTGTCTTCACCACCAAGCGGGACTAGGGGGAGGGGTCACCACATATGAGTGGGGCTTGGGCCAGACTTGTATCAGCTCCTGGTGGGGAGGGGTAAGGGCTTCTGGGGCTGGACTTAAAGAGGAGAGTCTAGGCAGAAAGACCCTGGCCCCAGAACCAGGTGTTGGAGTACGTTCTAGACTTAGACAAGCCTCAGACTCATTCAATTCCAGCCCACTTTGCAGAATAGGAGACTGAGGTCCAGAGAGAGGCAGTGGGAAAAGGGTGCATGGCTGTGTGGAGGGCCACTTACCATGCTGGCACACAGTGTGTACAGCCACTGTACAGTCTCACTGTGGGCCACCACCCCTAGCATCCCATCCACAAAAAGCATCAGCTGGCCTAGTGCTGGGGACACAGAGACAAGAAGAGGTCAGTAAGGGGTCACTGAAGGCAGGGGTCATGGGGGAGGAGTTGGACTTACCTCGGAGGATGTAGGTCTGGTAGTTGTGGTCGGCAGCAGCACCCACACGGATCAGGCAACTCAGCCCCTCTGAGTGTACAAATTCAGGCACCAGGTCCTTGTCCTCCTGGGGGCACCATGGGTAAATTTAAGCAGGGCTCAGGCTGGACACCCACCCCCAGCCCACTTCTGGGCCTCACCTGGAAGATCTGCTTTAGTGAGAAGAGGGAACGGCGGAGCTCAGGGCCACTGGAGCCATACAACTTTTCTGCAAGGGGTAGGTGGGCATGGAAACCTCAAGGGGACACAACCCCCCACCAAAGAATATTCTAGTGCCTGAGCCCCCTACCTCCTCCTCCACTCCCTGACTCTGGGCAACCCCCAATCCGGTTTAGTTGCAACATCAGCCCTGGCCCTGAAAGGAGAGGTCAGGATAGGAGTGGGAAGGGGCCACACATCCTGTCTCCCATGTGCTTTGTCCACTGTCCAGCACAGGCCTGAAAGAAACTGAGCCAGCAGCGCTGGGGAGGGGCATTCTTGGACACTAACGTCCTCATACACTCACCCAAGATGGCATTGACCCTCACGGAGAGTTGAGTACGCAGGATAAGTGTAGGCTTTCGCCCTTTGCTGGAATTAAGCAGCCTAGTCAGCAGTTTTCAGGCCATTCCTCAGGGTCCCTGCCCCCCACACCAAGGCAGCTAAACACCACCCCACATGCCACTCCTGGCCCAACTCCCTCCTCCTCAACAGGAGGGTTTGTGCAAACATAGGTATCTCAGGTATGTGGGAGATCACACACGTCCTGCCCCCCCCCCCCCCCCCGCCCCATCCCAGGCATCAGGTAACACTGGCCAGGGATTCCTCTGGCACAGTCGTGTGGGGTGGCATGGCAGGAGGTGACTCTCAGCCTAGGCTAGAGATCAGGTGTCTTGGCTGCTGACACCTGAGCCAGCCCCTGGCGGAGGCAAGGGTAGGGGCCAGCCTTGCCTTCCTGGTCCCATGAGCTCTGACCTGATCTCTTCATAGAAGCCCTCCAGCATCTCCCGCTGCTCTTCCAGAGAAAGCTCAGGGTCCAGGTAGTATCCAGAGGGAGACACTTGTAGAGCACAGTCCTCCAGCTGGGGGCAAAGGGAATAGTTTTCAGGGCTGGGAAAGAGGTGGTAGAGATATGTATGGAGACCCCATGACCTTCTACTTCCACTCAGAGAGCCAGCAGAGCGGCATACCACAGGGTGTATGCTGCAGCCATGCATTCCTTCAGCAGTCATTTCTCATGGGCCTACCGTGCACGAAGCCCATCTACCTCAGGTGCCAGGCTTTCTTGCCCTTTGAATGTGCTATGTCTTCTGGCTAACACCTACCATTCTGCATGTTTCAGATTAGGTAATGCTTTTTTGGAACACTTTCCTGAACTCCTGTAGCCAGTGCTATGCAACCCGTTCCACCCCATGTGTGAGGCCTTCCATACAGCATTATAATATCCTAGACACTAGTTTCCTTCCCCACTAACCATGAGATCTCTGGGTTCAGGCTGCATGTCTGTCTTGCCCCATGCTATATCTGCAGAGCCTAGCACAGCCCTGTGGCTCACAGTAAGTGCTCACTAAACATGTTGAGCTCATGAACATGAATAAGGAAAGGGAATGGAATATGGGAGGAAGTTCCTGCCTTCAAGGAAGTTCACAGCCCTGGGGGTGATAAGCTGCATCCACAAAGCGTTCAAGCCCAGGGAGAAAGTGTTAAGAATATTGGTGCAAACCCAGCTGGAAGGAGTGTGTGTGTGTGTGTGTGTGTGTGTGTGTGTGTGTGTGTGTGGTATGTGTGTCTCCCTGAATTGAGACAGCGAGGAACAGTGAGTAATCCATAGGCTATCAGTCCATTCAGGCCTCAGGGTCTTTGCCCTGCCCCAAGTGAGCTAGACCTCAGAGGCCTCCAAGGGGCCTGTTAAAAACTAGGTTTTAGGGTCTGACTCTATCAGTCTGTAGCAGGTCCCTGAAACCTGCATTGTATGAGGCACACATTCTATCCGTGTGTGTGCTTCCCAAGTATCTCTATCATGCCCCCGGCCCGGCTCCCCTCTACTACCACCAGGCATGACACTTGGCCTCTTGAGAAGTACCTGTAGAGAAGTGACTCCTGAGAGTCTGAGGGCAGCACTGTGCCTCTTCCAGACACTTCCCCCATAGCACAGAGCCAGTATGCAGGGCTCAGCAAAGTCCCCTTGTATTGAGTGGCCCTGCTCCTTGGGTTGCTATGGCCCAGGGAGAGCCCACCTCTGGAGAAGCAGAGTATTTTCTGGTTTCCATCTTACTGGGAAAGTCAGTCCTAACATCTGTCCCACTGTTCTGTCAGCACTGCCCTGCTCTGGTCCCAGTCCAAGGACTTACAGCTGCTGTTGGTCCCCTGGGAGAAAGGGAGCCCAGCTCCTGCCCCTACCCGTTTCTGCTTTATACTCTGCTCATGTCTGAGAGACTGACCTAGCTCCTTCCTGGCAGTTCAGCCTGTGAGGCCCTTGGGTGACACCCCCTCCCCTCCCCCCACTCCCCCCACCCCCGCCTTGCCTGGGACATGGGACATAGGACAAACACTCCAGCCTGTTCTCTGTCCCACTTCCTGCCTGGCTGCCTGCCCTCCCTTGGGCGCCTTGGGCGGGCCTGGCCTCTCTCCCCTCCCTGAGAGCAGAGTCATCTTCTCCAGGGCCTAGTGGGAACAGGCCTGAGATGGGGCGGCAAGGCCCCAGGCCTGGGGTACTTTATCTTGGGCCAGCTCAGCTGAGGGCAGCCCCACATTCCTCCTGATCCCTCTTCCCACATGGTGACTCAGCAGCCTACCCACTCCACCCCCATCCAGGCATAGCTGCATCTCCTTCCACCTTGGACTAGAGGAATCTAGGACCCTAGAGAAACATATCCACACAGCCTGGCACAGCCCCAGAGAAACAAACCCCTTCAGGGATCCCCCAAATCACACATATATGGAATAGCTCATTCATGCAAACATTCGTGAACCAGGCTGATTTTAGGTGCTGAAGACATAGTGGGGAGCCCAGCTGGGGAGGGCCAGCAGCCTTACCTCAGAAAAAGGCCACAAGTGGCTGCCTGGGTGGCTCAGTTGGTTAAGTTCCAATTTGATTTCAGCTCAGGTCATGATCTCATGGTTTGTGGGATTGAGCCCCCATCAGGCTCTGCACTGACAGTGGGAAGCCTACTTGGGATTCTTTCTCTCCCCCTCTCTGTCCCTTCCCCATGCTTGTGCTATCTCTCTCAAAATAAATAAATAAACA